CTCCTCCTCCTCCTCCTCCTCCTCCCCCCTGCAAACTTCACTCCCTTCTAGCACTGATGATGCTACCTAGTTGGGTGATGAAACCTCTGCAAGAAAACCACCAAGCTCAGAGAGCACCAAGGACCCCCTCATGCCAACCCTGAGCTACAGATATTCTCCTTTATTCTATGTTTCTTCTCTGTTGGATTCCTTTGCTGCCAACCTCAGCACATGCTCGACTTACTTGCATTTGAATAGACACAGAAATAAGTAGAAGGCATTTGACTGCCAAAGCAAGGCTAGAGTTCAAATCTGAGCAATCTGTTCTAGAGAGGGAAGCGATTTCCTCGCCCCTCAAGTTTTGCAAAAACATTAACATTAAAAATAACTGGCTCCTTTTCTAAGTTTCCAGGAAGGGAAGAGATTCCCAAAGCCCAGAATGGAACCCTCATTATTAATAGACATTGAGAAAGCATCTTGGATGAATCTTGCTGAGCCAGCGAAGAAACGTGGGCTATTCTTCATGGTTTAGTGCCACTGTAAATATCTTCTGGTCCACTTTTTAAAAGGTTAGACCCGTCCTTGGGAGATTGAGGACTTTTATAACTGTAGGGAGGAGTGTAAATTCAGAATTCAGACAAGGCGAGGGCTGTTGATAAGCCAAACCAGGAGAGAGATAGGAAAAGAACTGGCTAAATATCCCGGAACATCAGTTACACTTTGAGTGTGTCACTTATATTGCTAAGGATAGAGAATTACCAACTTTTCAATGATGTTCATGTTTTATGGACCAGACTTGGTTGCCGTGCCAAGAGGTATATAGCAAGAGTGAGTGTGTAAAATATTAAGTCTCACCCTTCCAGTTCTGCCTTATGGTTTATTGGGCCACAATTTTCTGGTTTCCTTTAATGTTTCTTGAAATTTTTGAGGACGGTGCCAACCTAGAACTAAGGAGACATTTCCTGACAGTGAGAACAATTAATCATTGGAATGACTTGCCTTCAGAAGGTGTGGGTGCTCCATCACTGGAGGCTTTTAAGAAGAGACTGGACAACCATTTGTCTGGAATGATATAGGGTTACCTGCTTGAGCAGGTTGGACTAGAAGACCCCTGAATCCCTTCCAACTCTGGTATTCTATGTTCTGTAATTATCTGGGTAAAGTTTCCCCTTGCACATATGTGCTAGTCGTTCCCGACTCTCGGGAAGCAAAGCACATGTGGATGCTGAATGGCACCTCCCTGACTGGGGAATAAATAGAAGGAAAGGGGAGTGGTGGTCGTAGGAGACAACAGTTCGTATTTCTGAAGATTTTGTTCATTGTGTTTTGTGCCATAAAGATTGCTTGCCAGAACTTAATTTGCAGCCTTTCAGGTGGGAGTTCACGGCCTGGCAATTATCACAAGGAACTGATAAGGTCTGTATTGCAGTTAATTCCTTGAAGGACTATTGTGTGGATGTTTTGGTGGGTGAATGCCATTAATTCACAAGAGGTAAATAAAGAGGGGGGTTTTGTGACAAGAAGTCTGTTTCTTGCTTCTGCTAACGTTGGATCAAAACAGATATGGAGGGGGGGATTAGAGATACCTGGGGTTTTGCAGTCAAAATAAAATACTCTTGGGAACCAAGGATGTTCTCACACCTGGTCAGAGGAAGGAGGGGGTGATGTGATTCTGTAAACCGCTTAGAGAGGGCTGAAAGCCCTATGAAGCGGTATATAAGTCTAACTGCTATTGCCGAGTTGGCGGTGGAGTTCCCCAGGCTTATGGTTCTGGGGGATTTCAACCTGCCTACACTTGGTGAACGCTCT